CAGCGCATTAATATAGAACGATAATTAAAGGCTCTAATTCACACCAGCATAGGTGTGTGTATTGACGTATGATGACGTGTGACGGCATAGTAGTGGTGTCCCAATTCTTAGGGGAATATTTTCACCACCACTTGACACTCTGTTTCAAGGGACAAGAGGAAGGGGTAGGCGGAGGGGTAGGGGAAGGGGAAGGGGTATAAAATAGAATTGGGATTGGGCCTTTTTTAATAAAGATCCTAAGAGTTTAGAGATGTTTTGCTTATTGTAGAGGGTGTGTCCTTTCCCTGCATCTTTCATGTAAATTACCATCTGTCCCTAAGGGTGTAAACTCTCCATGACAGGACATGATAAATGCAAATTCCAATTGTTAGTTCCTTTCTCTATCTGGAGGATGTTTGTCTTGGTTTGAGTACTTAAGGAAATGTTGCAAGAAGATCAGGGCGCTTCTGTAGCCAGATGAGCCCGTAGTGTGGTCCATACACTCCATACTATGTATCATTCTGAGGTCAGGTATGCATATTTTACTCTTTATCTTTGATAATTTGATGTCTTGTATTGAATTGATTGATATCTCTGAATTGACTATATAATTGGCATAATACATGTTTACCTGACTAATAATAAATTGTTACATTTGAATTGATTCTGTTCACTCTGAAATGATTGACATTAGCAGATCACATTGTGTCCTTTTTAAAACATTTCTGTGTCAGGTTAGTAACGAACTAAAGTCCAGTTGAGATGGAGCACTGGGCATACCAACTGTGATTTTAGTGATCCGGCTAACATTTGGAATTAGTTCAAGTGTACTTAGACTGTAAAGGCTAAAAGGGCATTTCCAAGGCTAAAAGGGCATTTCCGTTTAGGTCAACTGAATGTTGTTCAACCTATCTAAATTTGGGTGGGCCTTACCACTGTTTATTGTAAGTGTACATGGGAAACCAGGGTGTGACTATACCAAAACTATTATCAGATAAAGTAATGTTGGTCAGCTTATATCTATAATAGTGGATACCTCTGACTACAGATAATATTGCTTTATTCAAGTGTATACAGATCTACTCCAGGTCCACATCTGCACGTTCCAGATCGTAGAACCCTTAGGTGCTCCAGGAGATCAGCATCCTACAGTGCTTCGTGTTCAAGGCTGTTGAAATGAATTCCTGCTCCTTTCCCCATTGCACTGTTACAAGCACAACCAGTGGAAGAAGTCACCACCACCGGACTGCTCACTCAACCACAGAGAATGTACTATCTCTTATCCAAACCTCTTCCGGAGACCGTGTTTTATATTATCACTATATGATTTTCTAATATACATATATACAATATAGCTGATTTCAGTTGATAACAAATGATTCATTTATTTGTTTGATACATAAACTGAGACTAATAAGGTAAAGAACCCTATTATCTTTTCATAAGATAATGTAACTCTGCCATAGGTCATCCAACTTAATAACTTGCATTTTATGCATCTTATGCACTTAATTCCTTTTTCATTTATGGTATTCATTGAGTAGTTGTTGATTACTCGTCTATCTTTTGTTAATAAAATGTATTTTATTACACTTGTGTCTTAAAATGTTAATAATGTCTTAAAATGTTGATAACATAGTAAGAGGTTCTACAAGTTAGATGTCCCACCAATCTTTCTTATCTGATGTCACCGCACCTTTATGGCGCTTTTCCACTGCATGGTACGGCACGGTACGGCTTGGTACGGTTCACTTTTTGGGGGTTTTCCACTGGGTACAGTACCTGGTACCTGGTACTTTTTTTTGTACCACCTCGGTTGGGGTTCCAAGTGAACCGTACCGCTACCAAAACGTGACGTGTAAACTCTGCTGATCACTGATTGGCCGGAGAGAATCGTCAC